AAGAGCACTCCCTCCTTGACGAGGAAGTTGATGCCCAGGATGACGGGGTGATTGTCCATGGTGACGACGGAAAATTCGATGATGCCTTCCCACTCGCCAAGCTTCACTGGCACGTTGTGTGAAACTCCATGGATCGAGATGGACTCCAAGTTTATCGTCTTTAGCCACCCTTGCCCCTTCTCGTAGGCAATACCAAGTCAGTTTGCCTCCTCGATGCGAAGGAAGTTGTATGTGACACCAGTATCTACAAAGGCTTTTGACTCACCTTGCATGAATTGGGCCAGAACATAGCACCTCCCATGTTTGCTCTCCTTGACTTCGGTCTTCACTGCGCCAAGCTTGCGGATTGAGCCAATCTTGGCCTCTGCTGCCTTGGGCTCTTCATCTTGAGCCTCCATGCCCGCCAATCTTCCCTTCCTTGGACAATCTTGCTCTCGATGTGGTCCATCGCAAAGGAACAAGTAAGGGGCTTTTGTTTGAACTTACCCCCTTTACTTTGGCCACCATGTTGTTGAGTGGGAGTGCCTCCCTTGAAAGGTTGACGTTGTTCTCCACCCTTGTTGGCCTTTGAAATCTTCTCCTTGGTGATGCTCCCTTGACTTTTGTACTCAACAAAAGACTCTGTTGTGGCCATGGCTGTTGCAAGGTCTTGCACTCCTCGACTTTGCATCTCCATCTTAGCCCACGGTTCATCCCATCAAGAAAATTGTGCATGGCCTCCTTGTCCGTGATGCCTGGGATCTCAAGAAGCAGCTTTGTGAATTCCTTCACATATTCTTGAACTCCACCCCTCTGGGTGAGCCTCCTCAACATTGAACGGGCTTCGAACTCCACGTTCTCCGGATAGAACTGCTTCTTGATTTCTCTATTTAAATCATCTCATGTTGCCATCAGACACGTACCCTTTTGACGTCCATTTCACATCGCCTTCACTACACCATAGCAATATCGACCAATACTCCAAAGTTCTTCGGTCTTGGAACGTCAGCACGTGGGACAGATTGCATCGGGTCTGGTCTGCTAGCCATGACTCTCTTCATGAGAGTGACCTCGCTCTTGAGGTCTGCAATCTCCTCCTTCATGCCGCCCAGCTCAGCCTGGACATGCTTTTTCACAACTTCGTTCGTGTTGTTCATAGAGTCGGAGATGGTGTTGGTGATGAGGGCCACAAGCTCTTCTCGTAGTCCATCATGCCCGATCTCCAAACTCATCAACCAAGCAGTCACTCCGGTGAAGCTAGCTCCCAAATCCTCCATGACGGTGACATCTTCGCCCACCTTCACCTCCACTCTAGAGACGCGCTTCTCTAGAGCTGCAACTGGATCACAAGTACTCGATGTCTTCCACGTTGCTTCTCAGAGTTCATTTGATCCATGTTCAAGACATCTCAAAGTTGCTAGTTAGAACTCTTTGTTTTGTAAGTTAAAGGCAGAATCCTTGTTGGGTTCGAATTAGGAGTAGAATTAGTTTCCTTGTTAAACTATGTTTATATCAAGTTGTGTTTTAGTTTGTTTGAGTTTGTTTATGCCTATAAAAGGCTTGATTCGTGTAAGGTACAAGGCAAATTGAATAGAGAGCAATTTACCCTAATCCTCAAACGTGTGTTTGTGAGTTTTGTTTTGGTTTTGGTGCGTCCCCAAAACTTGCTTAACCCTAACTTATTGAATGAGAGATCACACTCAATTACATCGAAGACATCACTATACAATCGTGCAATCTCCCATGTGTGAGATTTCTCTTTTGTTCCATCTAATTCCAAGTTCAATCTAGCTATCCAAGTTTGTTTTGGAGCTCTATTTTGTGTTCTTGCTTCGAAGAGATTCAATTCCTTTGAATCCTTGAAGCTGTGCCATTCTGATCCAACTAAGACCCTCTTTTGGGCTCATCATAATTTGTTGGTTTCTAACAAATTACCTGAGGCATTTTATGGTGGGTTAATACCTTATTTTGGTACGAACAATATCCAAACTTTCTATTTTGGTCCGTGGTTTCTGAAATTGCTCCCTTGGCCCGAACTATGCACCATACTTCCTTGCTTGGCCCGACGTGGGTTTTGACCTTCAAAATACACGGTCAACTCCATTGATCGTTAGTCAAGCGCCTAGGTCACTTGCCACGTCAGCAAACCCAAAAAAAATTTGATTTTTAAATTTTTGTAATATTTTTTCGTTATCCAAATTTTCTAGTCATTTTTTTTGTTAATTATTATTGTTATTAGCAAACAAATTGAATTTAATAAATTGCAAATCCAACTTTTTATTTCGGGTTTGGTGACGTGGCAAGTGGCATGGTGATTGACTAACGGTCAATGGAGTTGACCGTTCAATTTGACTATCAAAATTTTGCGTCGGCCTGAGTAAGGAAGTATGATGCATAGTTCATGCCAGAGGAGCAATTTCAGAAATCACAGCCAAAGTAGAAAGTTTGGGTATAATTCGCACCAAAATAAGGTATTAACCCTTTTTTAAGTACTAACTTCTTTCAAAGTACGACTATTATTCTCAAGTCTCCATTAGTATTTATAAATTCGTATTATAGTGTCTGTTCAACACAAAAAAAATCTTTTGTTAAAGGTTAAATCATAATAAACCACACTTAAATCACGATTTCAATATTAAAATATCATACTGCTTGCTTTTCGAGTATAATATCCGGTACAATTTCACCATTGTTCTGTCAACCAGTAAATGCCTATTTTTTTGGCAAAATTCATCTGTGTAGCCAAAACTTTGACATTTGTAACAATAATAGCCACTTTTGGTTAAATACCAAATATAGCCAGAATTTTGAAAGTTTGATGACAAATATAGCCATTTCCGTTACAAACTTTAAGCTGACTAGGATGTCATATCATCGCACACATCAGCGACAACTCAATTGTTGGTGACACGTAGATGCCACGTGTTATTTTAATTTAAAATTAAATAAATAAAATAATTATTTTTTAGTTATTTTTTTCTCCCCGTATTTTTACCTTTCCTTTCGTGTCACTCTACAAAGATCTATAAATTCCCAAAACCAATTAACTATTTTTTTCCTCCCTGTATCTTTCCTTTCCTTTCTTCTCTCTACACAAATCTGTAACATTCCCAAAACCAAACAAAAATCCAATTGAAATATTAATCTCCACCATCAATCCCACTCTCCTTTGATGTCGCATGTGGGACTGGGAGCTCTACTCTCCTTAAAGTAAAGGTCTAGAGGAAGATGGCGGCTAGATGCAGGCGGAGATAGATGGTGAGCAGCCCAGCGGGGACAGATCGATGGCGGCGGGATGCAGGCGGAAATAGATGCTGAGTAGCATAGCGGGGACAGATCGACGGCGCCCAAATGGGGGCGGAGACAGATCGACGACACCCGAAACAACGATGACGAGCGAAGATCTGGGTGCGACGACAAAGAGGCGAACCGATGGTGGCTGACCATGGAAGATGATGGTGAGCAGTGCAGCGGGGGAAGTTGGATTTGGCCGAGTACCCAAGCCAAGATACACAAGCTTTTCACCTTTCGATCCACTCCCACTGGGTAGGCCTTCCATCCAGACCACCGCCATTACTCTCTCTCTCTCTCTGGCTGGGTAGGCCTTTCAAAGAGAACAACCCAGAGCAATGAAGAAGGGGAGAGATTGGAAGAGAGCTTATGAAAAGAGGGGGTTTTTTTCTTTGATTTTTCTCTAGAAACACGAAGGGGAAGAATAAGAGAATAAAGATTATCAAAGACTCTTTTTTAATTTTTAGTTTTTTAAGTTTATCCACGTAGATTTGTTAGTTGTTATCCAGCTCAACCCTCAGTTAGTCCAGCTCAGTCTGTTACTTGACACCATTAAAGAATTAGACGGAAGCGGCTATTTTTGGTATTTCGCCAGAAATAGTTATATTTGGTCAAATCATTTAAGTTTTGACTACACAAGTATATGTTGCCTATATTTACCCTAAAAAAGTATGTTGCCTATGTTTTGACTACACAAGTGTATGTTGCCTAAGGGCCCGTTTAGTATCATTTTGTTGTTGTTGTGGTTGCAGTGGTGTTGTGTAAGCAAATGTACAACCACAACGGGAAAAAAACAGAAAACACAAACCTGTTTAGTTGATAAATCTGAAAAATCATGAAAGCTGACAACAAGAAACAAAAACGCGTTTAGTTACTACTGTACATGCCACAAAACAAAGAACCATTTTCATCACCATTTCAACAATTTTCTCGATAACTGAGGTAAACCACAAAACAAAGAACATAGCAATCAATCCAAATTCATAAATAACTAATCTAGCAATCACTACATACATGCCAAATTCATCAACATATTCAGAAAGTATAGATTAACATAATACTCTGAAGAAGTTGAAGTTACTTGCTGTGGGGGAGATGAAGTGAGGCTTTTGTGGAGGGGAAGTGGTCGGCGGCGGCAGGGGGGACTGGCGACGGCGGCGAGGTGCACGGGCGGACGTCGGCGGCGGGTCGGCGGGCTACGCGGCGGAGGTTTCGTGCTGCTCGACGGGCTGGGTCGGCGGCGCGGCGGAGGTGGCGGAGGGGTCGGGCGCGGCGGGCTGGGTCGGCGCGGAGGCGGAGGGCGACGCGGTGGAGGTGAGGCGGAGGTGGCGCCTCTGTTGAGAAGGGTGGCGGCCGACCTCTGTTGAGAAGAGTTTGGGGGCATAAGGGTTTTGGGGGGGGGGGGTTGATAAGTTGAAGTAGGGTTGGGGGGCTGTGTTAAAAAAATTAAAAAAATTTGCTTCTATGGGGATTCGAAAACTGGTCTGGTTTAATGAAATCAAGTGCCCAACCAGTAGGAATCCCGTGTGCAACATGTTTAAGAATCAGATCCAAAGCAATAAATTGTTGTTTCTCATTTTGGGCCCTGTTGTGCAACTCTGATTCACAACAGAAAATAAAAATCCAACTAAACACGATTTTTTTTCTTGGTTTTCCAAATTTCATAAAACAAAACAGAAACAAAAAACAAGCAACAATACTAAACGGGCCCTAAGTTTTAACCAATACGGATCGTTTTCTTCTTAACCCATTTACAGACGGACCCGACACAAAGAAAAGTCGGGGAACGAACGCGAACACAACCAAATAATGCCTTCGAAGACCTCCGCTCCGGCGGACTCCATCCCCTACACCGCCGTCCCCACCGTATACCCTCACAACGTGATCGTCCTCCCTCACTACCGCCCTCCTCGACCGAACCCAACCCTCCTCTTCCTCCGCCGCTGCTCCGCCTTCGCCGCCGTCGCCCTCCTCCTCTCTGCCGCCCTCTTCTTCCTCTACCCATCCGACCCGCACATCACGGTCGCCCGGGTCGGGCTCAACCACATCCAGGTCCATTCCTCCCCGAAGCTCACGCTGGACATCTCGTTGTCCCTCACCGTCAAGGTTCGGAACCCAGATTTGTTCTCCCTCGACTACGATTACCTCTCCGTGTCGATCGGGTACAGAGGGCGGCAGCTCGGCGTCGTGAGGTCGCTCGGCGGCACCGTCAAGGCGAGAGGGTCGTCGTATGTTAATGCGACGCTTAATTTGAATGGGCTCGAATTCTTTTTGGATGCCTTCTACTTGATCGAGGATTTGGCCAAAGGAGTCGTCCCTTTCGATACGATGACCACGGTCAACGGCGATCTTGGGCTCTTGTTCTTCGAGATCCCTATCGAGGTAATGTCGCTCTTCCCTCCTCCTCCGTGACCTCTACAGATTACGATGATGGAAAGCTGCGAGGTTTATACTTTATATAGCATTGGTAGGGTTTCAGAGGATTGCGAATTTAGGGTTTTGGGTAGATCCTTTGGAACTATTTGATGGAAGAGACATCGGCTTGCAATGCCTCTGATGGAGTTGAACTCCCTGGAATTGGTACTTGATTAGGTCCTCTATATGCCAAAGAGAGTAGAGGTTGCTTAATTGGGTTTGAAGCTTTGATTGTCACAAGAGGACTCTTTGGGGAGTTGCTGAATTCTGATAGATTCTGAACTAGTCTAATGCTTTACCATTGCTAGCAGTTTATTGTGCAGTTTCTGCATTTGATTCCTGTGCGAATGGTTGATGTTCACTTCGTTCGGCATTGAGTTTCCGTGATTCTTCTGGTTTTGGCTCTGGGGATGACATAAGTTTGTTGAAACTGTTTTCAGGGGAAAGTATCCTGTGAAGTTTATGTTAGCACAAGCAACCAGACCGTTGTACGTCAAAATTGCTACCCTCTGGTAAGGAACCCTGCTGCCTTTGTGATCACTTGATGTACATTGTAGTGGACTACTCTAAAGGAGAATGTGTGCTTTGTTAGTTGCTATATCAATGCATCGTTCAAGCTCTATAAATGGAAACATACATACAAGCAAATGAGCTGGGAACATGGACATCGGTCATTAGCTAATAATAAGTTCGCACTCATTGATATGTTTTTGGAGGGGTAGCATTCACTATCCGAAGCAATCTTCATATATCTGTTAGATCTTGTACTGACAATTCCAGCACTCTTTCTTTTCTCCATCCATTGTTTACGCTATGTTTGGTGGCTGAATTTACTGATCCGTTTTTACTTACTCCTGTGCAACCCTGCCAGTGACATGAGAAGCCATGCATCATCAGCAGAGGGCAAGGCTTGTCAAACCCGGAGTAATTATGGCGTCCAATGTACGTGAAGCCTGATCCTTTTTGTCACCTGTTGGGTAGAAGAGCAAATTCCAGCTTCTCCTTCACCAAGGGCTTTGCATACTGTACAGGTGTGTTGTTTTAGACTCGTCGTAGTTAAGCTTCGTGGTCACTGCCTAATGACGGCCTTCGGTGTTTCATTGATTCGGATGGATGCAAACTGATGGATATTATGCGAGACAACTTTCTGTACATATACTGAATTACTCATAACTGATTTTTAAGTCTGTTGGGATGCAAACTGATGGATATTATGCGAGACAACTTTCTGTACATATACTGAATTACTCATAACTGATTTTTAAGTCTACCCGTGAATATTTATTGCCAATGGGTTATGATAAAACGACCCTATTGGGCAATTGGCAAAAAGGTTATTGTGTTGGATGAGTTGCAGAATTATTGTCCTTCTCCAGAAGGAATCACGGGTTCCACAATCTTGTCCAAATACTGGTTTTCATTTGTTTTTCTTTTTGAAGAGGTATATGGTATGTTGAAGTCTCCATTGTTGATGGTTCTTTGCGGGAATCATCTTTTCTTCTTCTCACGGGATCAGAATCAGTCCTTTTCAGAACCAAGAAGCAAAATTTGCACTGATCTAAAGTAGTACTGCACACTCCCCTTTGTTTGGATCATTCGAAAATTATTTGATGAATTATTGCAGTATCGGAATAAAGTGCCGAACAATTTATGGCATCATCTCTGTTTGAGATCCTAAAACTTTCTCACATTGGCGACGGAATATGGCATCCATTCCAAAGGACGCCGGCGATTTAACTTGCTAACATGCGGCAAATTCTTCAATTCCCTGCATTTGGAATCTCATTCCTTCCTTCTTAAAAGCCCCTTTAGCTAAAGTCATCTTCATTTCCAATCAACCCATAACTTCCTTCGAATTGAGAGAATTCATTAATCAACAGATGGGTGATACACTGATACTGAAACCTTAAGAGCAGGGATTATAGAGTATTGAACAGCTCGGTCTGCCTGGAAAGGATTTGGGCTTTGCCTTTCTTCACAAAGATTCACCAATGGCATCCCCTGCCATTTCCATAGTTGCTATATGCACCTATCCATTCAAGCTTCAGTTTTTCATCATGGATGTCCTGTTTTTAATGACAGAGATTTTCTCTTGTTCTGTGATTAGAAGAACAGAGAAGATAAGATAGCAAATAACAGCATGTAATTGGTCTCTGATTTTAGCATACTTATACAAACAACGCTGTCTTGATCATGTGCATGCTTCTGCAGTGGCGGTAGCCATTGATCTGCTGGCTGCGGCGCCCCATACATAAACAGCTCGATGATACCTGCACCGGAACGACCCCGGGTGCGTCGTCGGCGAACACACGCACCACCTCATCATCCCACCACCGCCTCCTCCCTCTCCACCACCGGCGATTATAACTCTCTCTGCTGCCTCCCCTGCATCCTCCGCCACATGACCACCAATCCCCTGCACCAGATGATGATGATGACAGCGGCCAAACGCAGGAGGAGGGACAACTTGGAGACACATCTCTCTGTCTCTCCTATTGTCGAGGAATGGAAAGGATGTGAAGAAAGCCAACTTATGGGTTTCTTTAAAAGAGAATGATATGGGGGGGAGAATCTCTGCCTCTGGAAGAGAAATGGCCAATGGGACGTTGTTGATGCGAAGAAGCAAAGGAGAAAAAAAGGGCGGGGTGGCTGCTTTTTATTCCACAAAACGGAAAGTGACTGCCAGGCCAATTTCCCGAATCCACCACGATCGAGAGGAAGGAAGGATGGAAAGGTTTTGATCCCTGTGGATTGTTGTATTCCTTCATGGAAAGAGAGGGCCGTGCTTTTGTTCCTTATCTGTGTGGCCTGATCCCGCCTAGAGCTGTGCTCTCCACAGAAGCAAAAGCAGAGAGGCCAAACATTTCAGTTGATTTAGGAGGAGCCACCGCCGAACAAATTGTGATATGTGGATAGATGTGATGGGAGAGTGATGCACCAACGCAGATATACCGATCAAGTGGCCTAACGGCCGCCGCTATAATGAAAGCTGAGGCCACGCTCTTTCTCATCTCATTGTGGGCTTGACGGCTTTGGACAGGTGGCGCCATGGATGCTTCCACCTGGCGGTACAGTGATGTCTGGACTGATCGATGCATTCGTGGCCTTAAACAATTCTATCCGCTTTCCTTTTGCTGCTTTTTTATGTTCTGATAGTTGGACGTATCTTTATGCATGGGTTTTTTTCTCTAATTGGTGGAAGAGCTAGTTTCGGCTTCTCGTACGGGAGAGATACTTAAATTCAGAATGTTGTGTTTGTTAGGAGTAGGGATGACAATCAAATTCATGGCCTGGTGATGAATCGTAACCCACGATTCAAGAGTTTTGCTTGTAATTCACAAGTAAGAGAAAGATTTGGTGTCTATAAATCTTTGATTTATTTGATTGATACGGAACTAATGCCAAAGTTACATATTTATAGACTCAAGAAAGTCTAATACGTAACCTAGTCCTACCCCTATTCGGCTACCCCTTCCCAAATACAAAAGGAAAACTTGACGCAAAAGGAAAACACCCTAGCCCAAACCGAAACAACCCATGCTGAGACGTTGAGGTCGACGACGAAAGCAGTTGCAACTCTTGCGACGACCAGACTTGTGTCGCTTCCGCAACTTCCAGTTTGCAGATCGACCTTTCTTCGCCTTCCTTCTGATGACTGGGGCATGGATTGCTAGCTGCATTATTGGGACTCCATAATCATCATCTTGGTCCCATACAAATTTTCTTCTTGTGTGTTTAATTTGAGGATAAGTAGTGTCCTACGCAAACCCGAGCCACCAAATTCCAAACGTCCATCCGACGCACGCTGCATCAACGACGGCCTTTCAAGCGAATCTAAAAAGCTTCGGCTGCCACCAACAACATCGCTTCTATTGGTCCCTGCTCCAGCCTCGATTTCCTCCTTCGTACACCTTCCGGATTGATAGGTGGGAGCCTCGTCAAGGTGGTGACCACCGCGGCGCACTGTTTCCTTCCCATCGCTTCCATATCGTTGGGTGAGAGCCTCGCCTAAGTGATAATCACCCTTGCGCACTGTTTCCTTCCCGTCGATCTCGTTGACGAAGATCTTAATATCCCCCGCCGCCCTGATTTCATTGGCGTCAACGCGGGCCACTTCGTCTTCGTTGCGCTCTCCTCCGGAGATGATTGCGCGGTTGGCGTTCAGCTCTCGTTCTCGGCAGAATGTCGTGAACCTTTCACGCGACTTTGCTAGCTGCGCACAAGCGACTTTGGTCTACTCGAGTGCCATCTTTGCGTTCCGCGCTAGGGCGCGGTACGGGCTAGGTCAAGAACCATGTTACCTTTCCCAGTAGGATGCGTAACCAGGCTCTTATACCAATTGATGAATCATAACCCACGATTCAAGAGTTTTGCTTGTAACTCACAAGCAAGAGAAAGACGTTGGTGTCTATAAACCTTTGATTTATTAGATTCATACGGAACTAATGCCAAAGTTACTTATTTATAGACTCAAGAAAGCCTAATACGTAACCTAGTCCTACCACTATTCGGTTACCCCTTCCCAAACACAAAAGAAAAACTTGACCCAAAAGAAAAACACCCTAGCCCAAACCGAAACTACCCAAAGCCCAAAAATGTTCTCATCATCACAATACCTAATTGTCTTCCATCTAATCAATGCGGGAACCAGTTAATGGAGAAAAATCTTGCATTGATTGGTTATGAGTTGGGTACAGGTAAAATTCGCAAAACATTTGAGGACTTTGCTACGGTGACATGCATGTCACCATGTCACCGTAACTTGCACTTTTAGGTCGACCTTATATAGGATTAGATCGACATAATATGTCGTTTCAGTTTTGTGAGGTTCAACGACGCGGTTGACCTTTTATAGCAAATGGTCGACCTCTTTGGGAAGCGATGTGGGTGGTTCTTTTGCTCGTACAAATTACGTTTCAAACCAACAGAATCAGTCATAAACAGTGCTGTCAAAACCGACCCGAGCCGGCCGGTCGGACCGGTAAAACCGTCACCCGACCACCAGCCCGGCTCGGTACACTCAATTAACCGCAGCGGCTAAAAAGGTCGGTTTTTGACCGGTCAGAGCGGTTAATCGTTCGAGCCGCTCGAACCGCCCGACCGGTTTTTAACACATGAACCGTCCGCCGCGAAGGCAGCACCGCAGCAGCTCTCATTGTCAGCTTCAGTGAGATGCTGATCGACTTCGTCCCCACCGTTTCCGTAGTCTCCCTCGCCGAGGCTCCCGGCTTCCTCAAGGCCCCCGGCGGCGCCACCGCCAACGTCGCGATCGCGGTCGCCAGGCTCGGCGGCAAGGCCGCTTTCGTCGGGAAGCTCGGCGACGATGAGTTCGGGCACATGCTGGCCGGGATCTTGAAGGAGAACGGCGTGATCGGGGATGGAATCAACTTCGATAAGGGGGTCAGGACTGCTCTGGCGTTCGTCACTCTGAAGGCCGACGGCGATCGCGAGTTCATTTTCTACCGGAATCCCAGCGCCGACATGCTCTTGCAGCCGGAGGAGCTCAATCTCGAGCTCATTAGATCTGTAAGAAGAAGGAAAGGGAAAGGGGGAAGAATGGGGCGGCGGTAGCAGGGAATGGGGAAGGAAAGGGAAAAGGGGAAGAGTGGGGCGGCGGTAGCAGGGAATGGGGTAGGGTTTTGTGGGTAAATATATAAAATGTAAAATTACTAATTGGTATATGAAGGGTAAATTTCATTTTAGCCATTAAATTACTATTTTATATATCATCTATTTATGATATTATCATTTATAAGGTACCGGTTCTCTAACGGTTTTTTAACGGTCTAATAGCGGTTAGACCACTAAAGTGCGAGCCGTTCTCGTTACCGGGTCAAACTCCGGTTCGGTTTTGACATCATTGGTCATAAATAATGATAACAAATACTCATAACTTCATAACATAACAACTAAACAAACTAACAAAAAATACAATAAAACAAAATCATAATTGTTCACACATAACTAAAATCTAAAGAATAATAAGGTCGACCTAAAAGTGCAAGTTACGGTGACATGCATGTCACCGTTTCAAACCACATAATATCAATCCACAATCGTTTTTAACACTTAACAATAAAAATACACAATCTAAAATCCTCGAGTTCCTACTCATGTCTGGGATGGCAAGTTTACCCATACCCATGAGTTTTTTATTATCCAACCCAGTTGAGTTGGGTCTGAAATCCAAATTAATTGTAAATGGGTTAAGTCAGATGGGTCAATACCCATACTCATTATGTTGGATCCTCTTGGGTTTTACCCATGGATTTGGGTTTCAAAATCCAAACGCAAATAATTAAAAGAGAAAAATGAAAAAACCAGTATCTCACTCGCCATTCGCCATTCCCATTTCCCACTTCCCAGGTCCCACTCGGCAATCGACATTGTCTCTCTTTCGTCTTCCTCTACCCTCCGCCGGCGCCGACAATGTTGGTGACCAGACGGTGATCGTTGAGCGGACAGTGACGGTGATCGGAGAGTGGACCTGGAGCTGGCCTCTCTTGCCTCAAGAATCGGAGACGGAAATCAGTCACCACCACGCCAGACGCCACGTTTCAGATTCCGCCGGGAGATCGAAGATCTTGGTCGCCCCGCCAGTTGCCTGCTCCGCCTCATCAATGCAGTCTGAAGCGTCAGTTGCCAAGTCCGTATCCTTAATACAGCCAACAAGCCCACAGTTACCGGATTCGCTAGTCGCTACTCATCACCAGAGGTACAACCAGAAACCCACTCCGCCAAGCGCCCGACGTGGCGACGTCTTCAGTGTTCTCATCTCCAATCGATCCGAGACTAACCAGCTTCAGGTAATCTTCATCTTCCACTGTGTGAACTGGGTCTTACTAAACAGGGGATTCATAAGTTGGGTCTGTCTTAACTGTGGAAATGAATTTCTATGCTGTGAATTGGGGAATTATTTTAATTCGTCGGTATTGGTTTGTTGTAGAGCAGATTCTTCTAGGAGACTCGTTGTATCGTGACAGGGAGTATCAAAAAGCAATCGTGCCTGCATTTTCCCTTTCTTTGGTTCTAGTTTCTCTCTTTGATGCTCTAACAGCAACCCAATACCTACTAACAACAACACATACAGATTCATAATGTGTTCTTTGATGCTATCTGAATGGGAATGTTTGAATGATTGCTTGTTGCTTGCTTGGTATTTCTAGGGAAACATGGCTTCAGAAACTAACTTATTGTTGCTGTTGTTCTCGTCTGCTTTCCTTTTCCTTTCGCAATTCACTTCAGTTGCCCCAAAGATGGAAATATTGGGTCCCTAGCCTAGGTTTTTGCTTGGGTAAATGACACATTTGGTCACTGAGATTACTAAATCGTGTCATATTAAGTCACTAGAAAAATTTAATATCAATTTTGGTCACTCGAATTACTGAAACAGGTCACATTTGGTCACTCTTCTGTAGCCTCTGTCCAACTCCGGTCACTCGAATTATTGAAAAATGTCACATTTAGTCACTCGGATTACTGAAACATGTCACATTTAGTCACTCTCCCAAAAGTTTCCGTCCAACTACATTAATGGAGTTGGACGGAAACTTACGGGAGAGTGACTAAATTTGACCAATTTCGGTAATTCGAGTGACCAAAATTGATATTAATTTTTTCTAGTGACTAAACATGACACAATTTAATAATCTCAGTGACCAAATGTGTCATTTACCCGTTTTTGCTTATTATTTGCTGCTGATATGCTTTGTTTTGATGTATATCTATGTACTCTTTAGGTAGAGTTATGTAGTACTAGTAAATGGCAGTAATGGTAGCAGTAGTAGTATATGCTTGTTTCATGTGCTGGAATTTCTCCCCTCTACTTTTTGTGATTTCATTACCAGTAAGAGCCTTGTTCGAAAAACACCAGCCTCTTCTCATGATTCAAGTGCTGTCACATATATATTTCCCCAAAGTTGTGTTGGAGTTTATAATGTTCTGTTGTTGGGTTTGGGGATTAAGCAAAAGAAACAAGTTGCTATGCCTTACTGGAATTTCAGCAGTAATGAAGTTAAGTTTGAATGAAGTTAAGTTTGATTTGATTATGTAATGTTCACAACAAAGTATCTCATGTTAATGGATTCCAAAGTAGGAATTTCGATTCTAGGTAGTGGGTTTAGTTCGTTTTCTCTCATTGCATTCTTATATACTCTTCATTTTCACCACTTGCCTCTTTGCTACACCTTGCTGAACTTGTACAGATGATTTGATGAGTAATGGTTCCATCCAACTTTTCTACCATGTCTATCACAGATGATTTTTG